ATCTCTCGACATCGCGGGTGAATCCGCGGGCGCGCGGCGTGCGGCTGCGGGCTTGTTGTGGGCGCTGGCATGACAATATCGATGTTGAGCAGGGTCCTACAGTTGAGCAGGGTCCTACAGTACTCCTACACAGCCGCTGATTCCAGGTCACAAGCCAATAAAAGCGGCGCAGATCCCAACGCCACCACCTGTAGTTCTCCTCCATCGTCCCCACCACCTCATCTATCTCCTTCTGCTCAAATCCACCATAATAGTCCTCTGTGTTGATTAAGTTGGTTTTTGGTTAGGCCTTGAACGGAAAAGGTGTTAACGGTGGAGTAGAATTCTCGGATAAAGTTTAAGGCATCCTCTTGGGCTAGGTCGTAGAATGAGGGAAGTTGGTTTAGGTGGATGGTTTTGAGGTCGTAATTTCTGGCCGCCTCCCCGAGCTTGAGACATGAAGTGTTGTCTCTAATGATAGGTCGTGCAAAACATCTCATGTTCGGGGGAGGTTGTGGAAGTTGCCTTCCTTGGTCCGCCATTAGTTCGGGTTCGGGTTGCGGTTGCGGTTCTTCGATATTAAGTTCAACGAAAAGATCGATCGATGGTGTCTCTTCTACGGGTGCACGCCTTCGTCTACCTCGCATAAACACAAACAACAACTATACCCGTGAATGCACCAATGGAAAACAAGGTCAAGTCAAGGTGAACAAACACAAACTACCTAGAAAATCAAGAGAAATAAAGAGAAATACGGAAAATAAGCAAAATTCACACAAACAAAGAGAAACACGAGAAAAAAAAAACAATCAAATAGCAAATTAGGCGTCCTACTTACCTTCCCCGGCAACTGCCCACATTTGTTTAGTAGAGTTTTGGTGGGCGAAGGATAACCAAGTTACCCGACTTGGGTCGTTCTCAAAGGAAGGCGCTTCGGAGCTTTATCTACTACTTGATTGTCCAAATCACAAAAAGAGAAAATAAAATCCTAAACATGCTAATCAATTGGTTTAAGATTGGATTTAACACTAAGAGAGCAATTAACTAAGAGCAATATCAAATCACGAGCAAATAACGAAGCTAGACCATCGGAGTCTCATGTCATCAACACAACGAGATGATAATCAACGACAAAGAGGAATAAACGAGCTATGAGCACTATATCATTAACCCTAGCCTTCTAACCCTAAGTAATTAAGCCCTAATTGGGTCTTAACCCTTAGCCGAGATCGACAAGCAATTAATTCCTATAACTACTCAAGCAAGCATCCAAAGCAATCAAGTCCAAACCTTCCCTCCATCATCAATCATACTCAAATTTACCCTAATAAACATTATAAGTAAAAACGAAGCAAAAATCGAAGTAAAGAGTTTTAAAACTAAATACCCATTCTTCTATTGTGTAGATGATGAAAAACGGAGTCAAAAGCTCGAAACTTTAAAGAAACCAAAGCCGCCGAAAAACCTCCCGGAAATGGACCGGTCGACACTATAACAAACCTAAACCCTAAACTCGATAACACACATAAGCACATAAAAATAAACACAAAAACACAACAAACAGTTTTTTATTTGTGATCGCATTAGTTTTTGTTTTTTTAAACTAAACTCACACGTTTTATTATAAACGAACTGAGGTTTGGCGGAGTTTATTCCCCTACAGAGCCAGAGAAATAAATGGGGAGTCAAATCTTTACAAGTCCATAGTACTACAAGTCCATAGTGTCTCGTTTTTCCTATTTCTCGTATTGCGCCTAATCCGCTGCTTTTTTTTTTTCAGAAGAGTTGTTTTAAATCTGGAGGCAAGGGGGTGGGACAGATGGGGAGGGAAAACGATGATTGGTTTTTTACAATAATTAATTTAAGGCGATAGAGTGGTTTGGGTGCGACTTCCCTCCGCGGTATGTAGTTCTCTTCCCTGTCTATGCCGTCTTCTCTTTTGTGCGTGTCTTTTTTTTTTGTCCTCTGTTTTTTTTTTTTTTCTTTCTTCTCTGCTCACGATAAAAAATCCTCCCTACTCATGCTGATCCTCACAAATAATAAATTCTTTGCGGCCCACCTATACAATTCTTGGAGTTTCTCTTCAAATAAGCCCAATTTGTTCTATGGGTAATAAAATATCTTCCCAGCTCAAATTAATCCAAGTCAAGTTTCACTTTGGGCTGCGGGAATGGACTGAAATTGGCCAGTATGGTAAGTTGAACAATTAATCGCGTGAACTTCGTACAATGCTTCGCTTTCATAAAATACTCTCAAAATTTTGAAAATAAATATAAAAAAATCAACGTATATGAATTCATCCAAATAATAAATAAGTGGAAAAATATAAACGTGCGAATAAATTAAATGTATAAAATACATTATTAAACATATACAACATGCATATTTTTCGACTTATCAGCACAACTTATCATACATGCATCTTCCAATTCAGATGGTTCTCCCAACAACTGAAAGCAAGTTCCGGCCTCCAAAGCTGAAAAAGTATTTGTTCAGTCGCTTCTGAGCTAGGGAGACCTAAATCTCATTCATGCTAAGAACATAAATTCTTAGGTTCCAACTTGAAAAGAAAGATTGGGCAGCCGCTTCCAACTATAACATTTGTCATTACGCAAACAAATTACAACTACCACACACACACATACACTCATTCTTTCCATTACTCACTCACAGTGTAATATTTAACTTTAATCAAATCTTCACTGATCCGCGGCGCGCTGAGGTGCGGCAGGTGACCCTCGGTCGGCATCACCTCCACAAACGATGGACCTCCCAAGTTCTTGCTGAGGTACTCCCCCACCGCAACTGGGACCATAAAATCCTTGGAGCTCTGGATGATGTGGCACGGGACTGTGACGTGGCTGAGATAGGGCCTCAGATCGAGCCCGAATATCATGCGGCCCATGCAGCACGAAATATCGGGCCTCATGTTGAACAGGGTCCTACAATACTCCTGCACGGCCGCCGATTCCAGGTCACAAGCCAGTACAAGCGGCGCAGATCCCAACGCCATCGACTTGTAGTTCTCATCCAAGGACCCCAACAGCTCATCTATCTCCTTCTGCTCAAATCCACCAAAATAGTCCTCTGAGTTGATTAACCTGCATATTCAACAAGTTCAACTCAAACATGCCAAGTCAGCAAAAGTCGACAAGAACAAAAAAAGGTGAGGCAATCGCTTAATTAGTTACCTCGGGGTGGGCGAGACCATGACGAGCTTGTGAAATAAGTCTGGCCTGAAAATAGATGCCAAGGCTCCAGCCATGGCCGACATGGAGTGGCCCACGAAAATGCACTTGCTGACGCGGAACTCGTCTAAAATGGCGATTAGGTCGTAAGAATAGCCTTCCAAGCTGGAATAACGCTCGAAATCGAAGTAGTCGGGATTGGTGGTCCCCGCCCCCATATTGTCGAAGAGCAGGACTTTGTAGTCGTTTACCAAGTGCGGGACGAGGTGCTTCCACACGGATTGGTCGGTGCCGTAACCATGGCTGAGGACAACGGTGGTCTCCCCTGACCCTAAAATCGTCACGTTATGGGCTAATCCAACACTGCTCATCTGTACTTGAGTTATGATAATATTATGAGTTCCTTTCTTGTGTGTTAGTTATGGCGGGTGTTCTTTTGTAGGTTGTAAATCCTTATTTTAAGACGTTCTGCTGGATTAAATTTTATGTATTTTTTGCCTTAAATTGTGTGCTGATTTATTGGGAATGTGACTGATGCGATCTATTGTTTTTGGGTCTCTTCCAGCTTAATCAGTGGTCTCGTGTTCGAGCTTTGGGAATCCAGTAGTGTTAAAAACTCTTGAGGGATAGCTTTGCCGTCCTTGTGGTCCTACCCAGCTCGATTCCGGATTAGTCGGTTCTCCTGTGGATTCGAAACCGGAAGGTCCCTGTAAAAAAAAAAAATCATATTCAAATTGTTTCATTACTTTACATAAATAAGTGCCATGGGATATAAATTTTTTTCTTTTCAAAATTATATTCAAATTAGTTTTAAATTGTGTTAAATGGTTGGTAAAAGAAAGTGAGATCAAAGGAATAATATTTTTTCAATTTCTTTATTTTTATTTTTATTCGACTAATCTATATATCTCAATATAAAAAGGTTTGGCATTTATTTGAAATAGTTACTGATTTCTCGCCTAAATAATTCGTTTTTATTTTTATTAGTATTTTTTAAAAAAATTTCGAAAAGTGGCGGTCAGTTTTTTTAAATTAAAACTTAAAAAGTCAATTTAATATTTGTACAAAATCAGTTTGGTCAAATATTGCGGCTATTACCTTTATTAGTTGCATGATTTAAATTTACTACATAATATGTTGACAAAAAAAAAAAAATTCATTATCTATTAAAAATCAAACTGTAAGAAGATCTTCTCCCACTCACTATCCAAAATACACATATAATTTTTGCGATAGTAATTTTACGATAGTAATCTTTAAAAGTATATTAAAAGTATCTTTAAAAGTATAGTAAGAAGATCTTCGCTCCACTACTACTGCTGCGAGACGTTTGGGGGAGCTTGACATGGGCCGTGAAACTCATTTTATTCGATGGGAGCCTCCTGACACTGATATGGTCAAAATTAACACGGATGACTCTTTCTTGGCTTCGTCAGGTGGCGTCCGCTGGAGGTTTGATTAGAGATACCGGCGGTCGTTGGCTTGGGGGCTATGTGATGAATATTGAATACTGTTTCATTACAGGAGCAGAGTTATGGGGACTCTTCCACGGGTTGCTACTCGCTTGGGACTTGGGCCATCGTCGGGCTATCGCGGAAGTGGACAACAAGAGTGTAGTGGTTATGGCAGTAGGAGACCCACCGGGCGACGTTGGAGTGCATGGCAGCCTGGTTCGAGCCATACGTGATTTGCTGAGCCGAGAATGGGAAGTGAGAGTGGTCCATTGTTACAGAGAAGCTAACTTTGTTGCTGACTGCTTGGCGAATCTTGCTCACCACTGTCCTGGCGGTTACCAACGGTTATTTGATCCACCATCAGTAGTCACACCGTGGTTACAACACGACCTTGTGGGCGTGTCTTACCCACGGAACGTATCTACTGACGGTTCTAGACTTTTGCCTCTTTATTTGTACCAAAAAAAGTATATTCAAATAGCACAGTCAAATAAAAAAAATGCAGAAATAACATTTTTTTTTCTAACACGTCACTTAAGTGTGTATTCAAGCTAACTATGATCAATTGAATATTTTATCTAATATAAACATTTTAACAACTTCAATAGAAACAACTTCATTATACAATTATAAAAAAAAATTTCTTATCGAAACATTATTTTTTTAATCCAATGAAAATAAAATTAATTATCTAATGCATATAGATAATTAGTTACAATTGATGTGGTTTTGAATTTTGAAATCGGCCAATCAATTTAATAAAAATGTTTACTATAGATTTTTTTATGTTATATAAACTTATAAGAAAAACTAACTAAAAAAATTAAGATATATATTTATATTAATCTATATATATATATAAGATTTGTATTTATCTGAAATAGTAACTAAAATTTCGCCTGAAATTACTTTATTAGTAACTTTTTAACTATTTATAAATGTGTCGATCAATTATTTAAAATTAAAATTAAAAATCAATGTAATTAATATGCAGAACAATTCTTGTCAATTATGACGGATGTTACCGTCAAATGATGCAATTATTTTAGGTAAGTAAAAATAAATGAGAAGGAAAATTATAGGGGACACTTCTTTAAAAATCTCTAATCATTTTTCAAACTTTCATGTCAGTCCCTATGCATTATTTCTTTCAACTACACTCCCTACCCCTCTATTCAACTTCCATTTAAATCCCTCTTATTAAAATAACTCAAAAAGAAATTCTAGTGTGACATCATCCCACTACCAT